ATTTCAACGATTGAAATCAGCTGCCGGCAGTCTTGGTTTCCATCAGAGAGAGTGCATCCCCGATCATTACCTTTGTCCGACAAAGGGGCTGATCCTGTCACTATGATCACCTACTCAGATGAATTCTCAGACTGCCCCAACATACCCAGGTTTTGACCCCCGCTAAGGATCTCACTGATTGGCATATCAATGACAGTCCAATCCGACACCTAGTGCAGTATCATAATCGAGTCTAGGGGTCAGGTGTAACTTTCCAATTTTGCCCACTAATCACCAAGGTCCAGGGCAATACTAGAAATCTAGTATGGTTTAGGGTTTCAAGTAAACCTACACTGCATGTACCTCGGGTCTCACCCTGGCAGCTGAGACAGGTCACCCCAACACTTGGCGGCACACTAGTGTTAGCCTTAGCAGGATAAATCTTCCCAGACTTATCCAACGGCTGTGAACATTCTAAACTAACACGAGTCTCATTAGTGTCCAGTTTAAGAGTATTACACAGAAGCACACCACAATAACATGAACCAAATATCTACTTTATTCATTTACAATAAATGTCATAATGTACATCAATCTGATTGGAGCTAAGGGCATACACTGTCTAACACTTTATTCATTTACAATAAATGTCAAAAGGTACATCAATCTGATTGGAGCTAAGGGCATAACTGTCTAACAAATTTAGCCACTAACGACCCAACACTCCCTCAAACTGTGGAAACAACTCCGTAGAAAGCTCAAAGACGTTGGTCAATGACACCTGAACACCTAGTAACTATAAAAAGAACCCAGGGACATTCAGAAAGGTATGTGCACTAGAGCTCTTGAACTCTCTCAAAGATTCTCATTAAATCCCCTCTCTAACTTAAGCATCGGAGTGTTTTCTTGGGTAAAATATACCCAGGCACTCTAACCTATCTCTCTTTACAGAATCTCTCGGCTCGGTCTTCCAGCTCAGCATCACAGCTCGCCGCTGACAGGTCTGGAATCGGTTCGAGCCACATCATCAGACATAAGGGAGTGAGCAAATTGTGCATCATCAACTACTATAATTGATAAATTGGTATATATACTACTATAAAAAGCATGAATGAGATTGTGAAACTTTTTAATTAAAATGCCCATATTTTTAATTTTGTCCCTCTCTAATTATAAAGATAGAAAATATAATTTGAACTACTACTTTTACCTCATTTAATTTCCTCCCACTAAAACTTATATTTATTGTACTAAATCTAATTCTCTCTCATTAAATCCTATATTTAAATTAAATTTATCTCTAATAAATTCTATTAATTGTTTTTCCCAACAAGACAACTCCATTACAAGAGATCCCACCATCACTCATCCACTCCATTGGTATTTCCATTAACGCAAGCTTATATATATAAAACAAAAAAAACTACATCCTCCCCCCTTCAACTAGTTTGGTTCCTCAACCTCCAATGTCCTTCTTTTTTGCATTGGAAGGGCCCTTAGTGGTTATTCCCTTGGAGGTAGGGGTGTTCACGGGTTAGTCCGATTTGGTTATAGAGTGTTTGGCCAACCAAATCGACCTGGTTGGGTTAGGGAGTTGGTCAATCAAAGCCGACTGACTAATAGTGAAAACTGACCAACTCTATATCAGTTTGGGTTAGTTTTCTATTTGATTGATCGGTTCAAAAGATTTAAACTTAAAAAAAAAATTAAAATTAATTTTAACTTTTAAGGATTATAATAATATTTTTAAAAAACAAATTAAAAAATTTAAATTTGCAATATAAAATATTTTAAACTAGGAAATATGGAAAAATTTCCACTTTCTTGTATTAAAAAATTATATTTAATTGGTTTTGGTTGATTTACAAATGGCCAAACCAAAACCGACCCGACCTGATCAGGTTGGAAAATTAATGAACTGAAGCCGATTGAAAATATTGAAAAACCGACCAACTTGGATCGAGTTAGCTCAAGTTGGTTGGTTTCATCAGTTTGATGAACAACCCTATTTGGAGGTTATCTTTGCTCGTTAACTTCAACGTAGGCATATCCTTCAAAGCATTCAACTGAGAGACATGTAATTAGGTTGAATTAGCTTGCTTCAACACAATATTGGGTATGTATCCATTAGTAGGGTATTTTGGAAGACATTTGTGTCCTTAGTTCAAAGCGAAAAATGTCCCATTAACTTAACATACCAAATATTAGCTATGTTTGGTTCCATGGGCATTTATTGAAAAAATGCCGCCACATCAGCACAATATAGGCGTTGGCATTTATTGTTTATGAAACCATTGTTTGGTTTCAACATTTATCAATTAAACACTGAAAAACAAAAATACTTTGATTTAATATTTATGTGCATTAGGTGTTCTTGTTTCCCCCAACGCCTAGGCATTTATTGAAATGAAGTGCTTATGTGACACACTTTAAAAGTAACTTTATGGGGTGTTACTTGAAATGCCCATAAAAACCAAACAACAAAAGCAATAAACGTTCAAAGCAATGTTTTTTCAAATACATGTTTATTTGACAAACACCTTGTCACTAAAACGCCATGGAACCAAACACATACATTGCTCCATTGATCCCTTGTATTTCAATGAAACATAGGGGCACATGCACTAGGAATAGGAAAGGCCTAGGTGGCCAAGTAAACTTTGAATCAAGATTTGCTCCTTACAGAGCACATCTCACACTGACCTCAAAATACACCCCATTGTGTATTGGGAACATCTTCCCATGAATAAAAAACACATAAGTATGAGAGATGTTTCTGATGTGCAGCTGAAACATGTGTGAGGTTGATGTGAGGAGCATATTTGAACTCGTAAAATTCAAGCCAATCCACTTGACATGGACTTGGTGAATTGGGATCTGCTCCTCATAGAGTGCACCTCACATGGACCTCACAATCCCATCTTACCGTGTATTAGGAACATCTCCCCATGAATAACAAAACAAAGGATGGAAGATATTCCCAATACACGATGGGATGAGGCTGTGAGATGCACTTTGTGAGGAAAAGGTTCGGTCTTGGACTTGGTCATAAGGTGGAATCAGGATTTGCTCCTCACAAAGTTCACTTGACACCGACCTCACACCACTATCCCATCTTGTACGGGAACATCTCCCTATGAATAACAACACTAAGGGAAATGTTCCCAATGTGTGTCTGAAACGCATAGTGAGATTGGTGTGAAGAACGCTCTGTGAGGAGCAGATCAGGACTCCATAAGGTGCCAATGGAACCCATGTGCAGCACCTGGGTGCTGTTACATTTTTATTTTTTTACTATTTTGAAGGAATTGTTACAATTTTGGTGTGGCTGCCATTAGTGAACAAGAATTTTCTTTTAATATTCGGTGATAAAAAAACGAGAGGGAGAGAGCGGAGGGTGAGAGGGGAATTATGCTGGGGGCTAATCATGGGCCAGGCCCAGGCCTCGCTTATCGCCTAGCAAAAGGGCTTATATGCAAGCCAAGCCCATTTTAACCCACAAACAGGCCTAAAGTATAGTCCCAACTCTCAAGCTGATATTGCCCAACACAAAGCCCAAYCATATATGTGTTTAGGGTGGACAGGACCGGGCTGGGTTTAGATGAAAAACCTTGGCCCAAGTTGAAAATTGCGGGCCTGACTAAAGATTATTATCCCTACTCCCTAGGTTTTGCAATGTGCAACTGGTCATACGTGCAGCACCACACGTGGACGTGTTCAAAGGAAATGGCACACACCACTTGTGTTGACTGCAGATTCAGACTTCATCAGATAGTCATTCGGATCAAAGTTGACATGATAGCCATCACCAGAATTCGATTTGCTCGGAGCAAATTGCTCCTCATGGAGTGCGTCTCATACCAACCTTACAGAGAGTCTGAATCAGCTGCTAACAATTTAAGTTCCAACACCTTACCAACTACATCTGACACTCTACGTTTCCTATATAACGGGTCCCACTTTTTATGGTGGTTCTAGTTTTATAGCCAGATCAGATGTACGGTATCAGTTCAAAGTTGATAGAGTGTTGGAACTTATTTTGTTGATAGTTGATAGGTGATTTCAACTCAGAATTGGATTTCTTACCAACAAATACGTAACAACACCCTCCCAACAGGCATCTCACCTTGAGATTGGGACCTATAGAATGTATGGTGTCAGATCGTGTTGTTCACGAAGTAAAAGATTGTGATAGATACGTACTATTTATCAACTAAATGGTGGATACGTAGTGTACATGATGAGAGTGAGCACACTGAATCATGTCTTTTCCACATTATCTGTCTCTAACACGTGGCATCTTACAGAAGCTCCATCCTCGGCACTGAAAGGCGAACCTCGATCGCAACTCGCTGATGTTCAAGCTTCTAGCAGGTACCATTCAATCGGTACCTTTCTCCTTGTGCTGGAGCTTCAGAAATCAGAGGTAGAGCAATAAGAACAGTCTGTGTCTGTCTGGTTATATTTAAACAGCAGTAATACACATGGAGAGGAATCTGTGACAGAGGAAAGCTTGAGAAAAATGCAGGGTCTCGTTCTCCAGTCTCCAGTTGTTTCAAGAGGGAAACTCCCCTTATTGGCTTCCGTCGACTCCTTGCCACACTCCACCAGTCTACCCACAAGAAGAGCTTCACGTTCTTGTAAGTTCTTTTTTCTGCTCATAGGTAGATGTTTAGTTTGTTGTTTTCAAACAAGTGGAGTTCTGAGATGCATTCGGATTCTCAATTGGAGAACTCCGAGGTTACTCTCGATTGAATCGTAGCACCAAATTCTATATTATCCCATTTGCTCAATTGGGTGTTAGAAAAGTTATAATTTCATAGGATTTTCCGTTTATATATAATTTTATAGTGAAACAAGTATGATTGGTACTGTAACAAAACAAGAATCCATCAGATAAGTAGTTAAAACTCAAATAAAACATTTGAATGTTATTGTCAATTAGAATCAATTGAAGTAGGAAATGGGTGCCCCGCTCATTCTGCTGCTGCTTCAGTGGCGTATTTATTCAAGTTTCATTGGGAACTTTGGTCTTAAATATTCAGCTAAAAGGACAAGAAATAAACAGAAGTGTTGATTTTCAGCCTTTTAGTCTTGAAGACATGCCCCGCTGCTCAAGGTTTGGGCCATGAAGTTGAACTGTTAATGGGATGGGTGTGATTCCAATACAACCTCTAAAGGAATTCACTAATTGAAGACTAATCATTGGATATTACTAAATGACACGATACTTCAACCAGTCTAATCCAGTTTATATTCGTGTAATCGGATCTTAATAATTTGGACTTATAATCATAATTTCTAGTTTTCTCTTATTCTAATTTTCTTTAAATAAAACCTACTTTACTAATAGATTTCCTACTTGATGTGGTCAGAAGAGCTGTCACATCTGTAAACCATCGCAGAGAAAGATGACTTGATCTCTTACAGGATATCAGAGGCACGGGTTATCCTGGCTCTGATGAAAGTAAAATTTCCATAGTAAATATCCCTAGCAGATACATATTTCCATAGTAAAATTTCCAATTGTAGTGCCAGTCTTTGATAATGTCCTGTGGCATTAGTTGATTTTAGTTCGAATTTACAGACACATATTTACGATAGATTTGACACATCAATTTTGCCTCTGAATGATGCAAAATTAGAAGGAAACATGTAAGAAAAAATGTTATCATCATCATCCAAGCCTTATCCCAACTATATGGGGTTGGCTACATGAATCCTGTTTTGCCATTCCATTCTGTTTAAAGCCATATCCATTGTCCATTGTTAAATGGTAGCAGCTCTAATAGGTGATGGAATAAAGGTGGCTCTTTGAAATGGTTGTCTTGATGAAAGGCCATTAATTTGAGGAATAAGAAGCAACACATTACATTAGTTGAAGGCCGTTAAAAGAGGTTAATCCTGAAAAAGCATGATAATGTTGAATGGAATACCTGCTAATGGAGGATGCAACCCTTGACAGTTGAATGATGAATTGTGATTTACATACTGATGGGGCTTGGGCCAAGTCTCTTGGATGATGATGATGATTTGCAGGATGCAACCCATATGTCAACTGCAGCACAACAGGGATGATTTTTTTTAATAAGCAACAGAGATATTTCATTAAAGATACTGCTCATAAAACAGAACAGCGGGCCAAAACTTTATGAGGGAATCTAAAATAATACAAATTTAGCCCATAGAAAGGTATTACAACAAACAGAAAGATATTACAAATTACAAGCCGGCCCTGGACATCCCCATTCAAGTTGATTCCTTGCCACTCTTGCCTTGGCTAACAAATCTGCAAGTCCTTAGCACATCTAGGCACCCAGTTGAATGAATTATTCAATATAGAGCTAAAAATTGTGCCTTTCTTTCCAAGGAACCATAACTTGATTTCTCAAACAACAAATTATAGTTTGACAGTCTCCCTCAATCTCCAAATTCTTCAAACCTTTCAAACTCATCAAATTTAAGTTGATGGTGCTACCCAAACACAATTGGCCAAGGAAGAGAAATGTTTCCACACCTGGGATGCAAAGGTACAATGCACAAAAAGGATGCATTTTGAATGAACAGAAATTGTGAACTGCATCGTGATATTCTTCATAAATCATTAGATTTGAAACAGCTTTTTAAAACGTCATCTTCAGATTGTTTGACATGCAACACAAAATTTGTTATCTTGTTTGTTTAGCAAGAGTGGTCCGTAATTCAGGCACATTGGAACATTTCCAAATCTCTAGTTACATCTTTTCCATCTGCTTATGCCTATCCTTCCAAAATAGGCAACTATTTGCCTAGGCAATCCATTTTGAGAGTGAGAGATTGGATTCTAGCTAGCTCTGCTAAATTTGTTAGATGATTCTACTTTTAATTTTCTTTTCTTTAAATTTTAGAGACTGATTAGGGGAAAATCTCTGGTTTGATAGTATTTGAAAAGATTCCATGGTAGAGTGAGAGTGAGTCCTATGGTGAGAGACACTCCACACTCCATTCCATGGATTAGAGGTGGCTAGTCATGTTCCACCCTTTCTTTTCCTTATTATTGATTCATTTTTTTAAATAACCATTACAGTTTTGGCAGTTCTTATTCCTTGTCTTTGGGTTATATTATACTGCACTACTGTAACCAAGTTTGTTTCTAATTACATTCTTTTATCAGTGATAGAATTCAGGTATATAGTGTTCTTATATTTCGAAATAATAAGGAGAAGAGGAACCTGTAGAAACAGTAGAGAGAAGAGAAGAGAGGAGAAGAAGAGAAGAAGAGAAAACAGGTCTAGTCGAACTAGAGAACTGCTTTCTCTAGTCGATCAGGTTTTATTTATACCTTTCTAAAAAACAATCAGAATTACTCTTGTGCCCTCACTTAAGTGAGAGACACATCAGCTAACTTAGGACCTACTTGTAATTACATCCAACATATAACTTAATGTAAATTGCCTATACTACCCCTCTACAGCTGACTCTAACACTCCCCCTCAAGCTGGTGAGTATATGTCATATAGCCCCAGCTTGTTACATATATAGTCCACTCTTCCTTGACTCAACCCTTAGGTAAACAAATTTGCCCATTGATTTCCTGTGTTCACATTATTGTACTTATTATTCCACTAAGCATCTTCTCTCGTACAAATAGGCAATCAACTTCTATATGCTTTGTTCTTTCATGAAACACTAGATTAGAGAAGATATGAACTGTAGCTTGATTATCACAAATATAGCTTCATAGGAGTGTCAATTGAGTTTCCCATTTCCTCTAGGAGATGCTTCAACCACACTAGTTCACATGTTGTGTGTGCCATGGCTCTATATTCAGTCTCTACACTGCTTCTTGCTACCACTGTCTACTTTTTGCTCTTCCATGTGACTAGATTGCCACCAAGAAAAGTGCAATACCATGTAGTGGACCTTCTGTTAGATATGGAACCGGCCCAGTCATCCCTCTATCTCAAGACTTCCTCCTCTCTTATATAACAAACCACGACCTGGAGCTCCCTTCAAGTACCGTACAATCCTTAGAACCGCCTCCTAATGTGGAATTCGAGGATTCTGCATAAACTGACTCACTACACTAACTGCAAATGAAATATCAAGCTGACTGATGGTTAGGTAAATCAACTTACCTACCAACCTTCTATACCTTCCAAGATCTTCAAACTCCTCACTTGCATCCAAGGTTCAAAGTATCGATATGTATCGGCCGATACGTATCGTGCTGATGGCTTCCCGATATGCCTCTACAGGGGGTGTATCGGGGTTCTGACTGGTTCAGGGGGTGGAGGAGCCTTAAACCGGACCCCCTGAACCGGTTTTGAAAAAAAAAAGCCTACAAAACACTATTGATATCGCCCGATACGCTCCTACTAGCGTATCGATATTTTGAACCTTGCGTGCATCACTACTCAACTTGACATTCAGTTCCATGGTTTCAGCTAGTCTGGCACCTAACAACCCTGTCTCCTCTAGTAGATCAAGAACATATTTCCTTTGGCACAAATTAATACCATGCTTGGACCTCATTACTTATGTCCCTAAGAAGTATCTTAGTTTGCAAGATCCTTTGTCTGTAAGTGATCATGCAAGTAAGTTTTCAACCTATCAATCCTTGGTTTATCACTGTCGGTGATAACAATATCATCTACATATACCACCAATAAAATCTTCCCAGCACTAAACTGATAACTAAATATGGAATGGTCAACCTGACACTGTTTCATGCCAAATTTTTTCACCACTACATTGAATATGCCAAACCATGCACGGGGAGATTGTTTAAGCCCATAAATAGCCTTCTTAAGTCTACATACCACCACCCTCCCCCTGAGCAACAAATCCCGGTGGTTGCTCCATGTACACTTCCTCAAGGAGATCACCATGTAAAAAAAACATTCTTGATGTCAAGTTGAAATAAGGGCCAATCATGCATAGTAACAAGGGAGATCAAAACACGAACGGAGCCAATTTGGCAACAGGGGAGAAGGTGTCTGTGTAATCAATACCATATAACTGTGAATAACCTTTGGCAACCAATCGAGCTTTCAACCGCTTAACACTCTCATCAAGTAAATACTTAGCAGTGTACACCCACTTACAACCTACAACATGCTTTCCAGGTGGAAGAGTGGTGAGGTTCCACGTATGAGTATGAGTTAGGGCCGAGAGTTTTTCCTCCATTGCTTGGCACCACCCTAGAAAGTAGAGAAGTAAGAGCTTCTTAAACATCCTTGGGAATAGAGACAGAGGATAACATAGACATAAATTGGGATGGGAAGCTGAAAGGTGAGATACAAAAACATAATTGGAAATGGGGTGAAGAGTGCAAATATGTTTACCTTTCCGTAAAGCAATAGGAAGATTAAGGTCAGAAACAGGGGTGGGGCTAGGATGGGAATAACTACTACATCTGTCGATGGTGACGAAGCTGGGGGAGGAGCCAATACCTAATGATGCATATACACTTGCCGGATGGGTGGTCGTTCAATAGGAAGTTGCATTGGAGGTGAAGACTTAGTCACAACTAGAACAAGAGGAATGGGGTCCTCAACAAAAACTGGAAGACGAGGTGATGAAAGAGAAGAAACATCCGACCCGGAGAGAAAAGCAACAGACTCAAAGAACGTAACATCGGGACACACAAAAAAACGCCGGGAACTGGGGTTATAACACTTGTACCCTTTTTGAGTCATGGAATAGCCAAGGAAGATACATTTAGTGGATCGAGCATCTAACTTGTCCATTCCAGGCCCAAGATTATGGAAAAAACACACACACCCAAAAAGCCTGGGAGTAAGAGGAAAAGGAGACAAAGTAGGAAATAAAATCAAGAATGGAGAATGACCTTCAAGGATGGACATGGGCATGCGGCTAATAAGGAAGCAAGATGTAAGTACAACATCACTCCAAAAGTGTTTGGGAACATTCATATGATGCAAGAGGGACCGAGCAATTTCTAAAAGATGATGGTTCTTTCTCTCAGCCACCCCATTTTGCTGAGGGGTGTAGGAACACAAGGTTTAATGGATAATGCCATGTTGTTCCAAATATTCCTAAAATGGTGTGTAAAATACTCATGGCCATTATCAGAACGAAGAATTTTAATGTGTACACCAAATTGATTGTGAATCTCAACATAAAATTTTTGGAAGATAGAAAACAATTCACTCCTTTCTTTCATAATGTAAAGCTGTGTCATCCTTGAATAATCATCAACAAAAATTACAAAGTACTTGTAACCATTATAAGACACTACTCTGTTTGGACCCCAGATGTCCGAATGGACTAGAGAAAAAGGACTCGACATATGACTATTAATTCTAGGACTAAAGGGAACACGATGATATTTTCCAAATTGGCACGACTCACAATCCAAAGTAGAAAGACGACTCAACGACGGAACAAGTAACTTAAGAGCTTTAAGAGACGAATGACCAAGTCTGCAGTGCCACTGAAGAGGAGAAAGAGATGTCTGAAGGGTTGTTGTCAAACCACCTCCATCAAGATAATATAGTCCACCAGTTTCATGCCCTCCACCAATCTTCATCCTCGTCTTGAGATCCTGAAACACACAAAAAAAAGGGTAAAAAATGATAGAGCAATTAAGAGACTTAACCAATTTACTAACAGACATCATGTTAAAGGAAAATTTGGGAACATATAAAACTGAGGATAGGGATAATGAGTCTATGTCAACATTATCAACACTACATATGGAAGATGTAGAACCATTAGCAAGAGTAACAGATTGTGATGTGGAGGATGGAGAAAGGGAGGAAAACACACCTGGAGTTCCAGCCATATGATCGGAAGCTCTAGAATCGATAATCCAATGGGAAGGTTTTGATACCAGACAAGTCATACCTGAGTGTTCAAGGGTAGCCATGTTCTACTAAGATGTAGCTTGAGTGAACCATTCATACTCATCACGCGGAACACTCATCATCTCCTTTGTGGAGGCATCTGTAGATGTAGAAGGTATCTGATCAGTTTGTTGAGATTCCTATCTTGAACCACCACCAGTTACCGTTGCATTATTTGTCCAGGTCGAAGGTGGGTCGTGTAGATCATAACAAAAGTTGATGGTATGTCCCTCCATACCACAATGTGTACACCTCCTCTGACCATTACTACATCCTCTGCCACGGGCTCCCCTTGAGTCTCAACCTCCAACACGATCACCACCACAACTGTACATGCCACCACCACGACCAGGCTGACCTTCCCGAACTCCTCCTCTAACTCCACGGCCTCCCCCTCTCGTTGCTGCAAACGCAGACCTATCTGATATAGTGGAGTTCTCCGTGGGTCCAACTAAGATCCTCTGGAGACAGGAAACACCTCCTCAAGAGAGGGAAGAGCAGACCCACCTAGTATTTGTGCTCTTACCGGTTCATATTCAGACTTCAACCCTACTAAAAATCTGGTCTCATCCAACTGCTCCTTCTGTTGTTGCTGAATTTTGACATTAGATGTAAGAGGATGATACACATTCAACTCATTTTGCAGATTTCTCATACTAGCATAATATTCCTCAAGACTTTGATTCCCTTGTTGTAGATTGAAATACTCTTCGTATAGTTGGTAAACCCTAGTAGTGTTGTCTTGTCCAAAATAAAGCTTCTTTGCATGACCCCAAACCTCCTTGGCTGTATCTAAAAACATGAAGTTCATGCTGATTTTGGGCTCCATACTATTCCATAGCCATGTCATAATTTGCGCATCATCTTGCTCCCACTCATAATATCCCCTTGAGAATCAGTTGGGGGTTTATCTTCCCTCACATGCTTCACTTTCTTCTTAGCTTTTAGAAAAACTTCAACAGATTTAGCCCAAGGCACATAATTCTGACCATTCAGTTTGGTAGATATCATCTGCACATTCAAATAATCAGAAGGGACCATCACACTAGGCTTGCATTCATTGCTGTCTCCCATGACTGCACAAGGAAAAGGAAAGAAATTCTACCACTAGTCTGTCACTCCACTTCACTAATTAGTCACCACACTACACACCACCGACTGATTACTACTAGGGTACTTACTATCATAGGTTTCAGCAACAACACTCACTGTTGTTCACCACTGCTGTCTTCCACTTTCAGCACCATAAACCATCACAATACACCTCATGAATAGGGAATTAGATTCTGCAACACATCACAATCTGTTCCTTACTGCTACACCCATGAAGCCTACCTATCTGAACCCCCGCCAACCAGTCTCGCACTGTCACTCAACTTCACACCTGAAACCTGCCCTCTTCGAACCGCCAAGTAGAGGGTTTTCTACCAACCACACAAAACAGCAACAACTCTACCCATTGGAAGCATGAAAACCTCCAGAACAAAAAAAAAAAAAAAAAAAAAAAAAAACGACCAGTCCTTTTTAGTCCCTTTGTGAAACTCCTATTGACTAATGAGAAATCTGCAAAACCTTATCGTGGCTTTGATACCATGATAGAAGTCAGGTATATAGTGTTCTTATATTTCAAAATAATAAGGAGAAGAGGAACCTATAGAAACAGTCGAGAGAAGAGAAGAGAGGAGAAGAAGAGAAGAGAACACTAGTCAAACTAGAGAACTGCTCTCTCTAGTCGGCCAGGTTTTATTTATACCTTTCTAAAAAACAAATCAGAATTACTCTTGTGCCCTCACTTAAGTGAGAGACACATCAGCTAACTTAAGACCTACTTGTAATTACATCCAACATATAACTTAATATAAATTGCCTATACTACCCCTCTACAGCTGACTCTAACAATCAGCAAACAAGGAATTTTTCAATAATATGAACATAATTATACAATTTAAGTTTTTTAATCACATTAAAGATTTTGAAAAGAAATTAGCCAATATTTTAATTATTTTCATGTGTCCCAGCTTTCCATTGTATGCCACCTTCTGGGTCAAGGCTTTAGGAAAATAGAGACAGGAATTACCAAACAGGTAAGTTAAACTAAATTATAGGAACTTGAGAAGTTGGGCTGGCCAATTTAATTAATGAAAGGAAAAACGGTGAAAGAGCTTGGGCTTACTTGAGGATCAATTTATCCACCTGTGATGGTTTATCTTCCAGTTGTTGCCATTGGGATTTTCCTTTTATTCTTTTTGATGGATGACTTGTTTTGAGCATTGAAGAAGTCTTTTGTACAAAGGTTTCTTCTTTGCAGTTTTTGACATTATTAATTGCCTTATTTTTACTGTAATACCTTGGCATCATAAGTTCTTGTAATTTTCTTTAAATGGTAAAAAGTGAATAACACTTTTCCTAACTATCTTTTCCTTTTCTTTTCGTTTTTGATAGTGACATATAGAGAGATACAAAGGTTGAACTCAGCTTATGGCACAATCAGAGCTCAAGCATCTAATGTTAGTATTGGATCCGGAGACTTTGATAGGAGAGAAGAAAATGACAACCACAAAAATTTTGTCAATAATCCACAAAGTGCAAATCCACCTGAATCGTGAGTTGGAGAAAATCAGTTTTTGACCTTATGGTGTATCTAAGGGTGTTATTACTTATTACTATGAAATCCTGTAATATATATCATTTGTTTGTGGAACAAGTCCTATGATTGCTCTTGCTTGTCTTGCATAGACATAATCTGGGTTTTGTGGTGTCATAATAATTTCCTAATGGAAGCATGGATAATTGTTGAAACTCAAAATCTTTATGGTATCTTGCATGATGCTTCTATGGGGTTGGAGTTGGTGGAACAGATCTTTTTAAATGTCGCCCTGTGCTCTTCTTTTCTTTTATTTTCTTTTGTCTGGCTAGGCTGCATGGCCATAGGTTATAGCATCTTTGCAATTTCTCTTTCTATTTAATACATATTTTGCATTTTATTTAAAACAATAAAAAAAGTCATTACCTAATGTTGGTCCTAGCCATCTGGGGTCTTGGGAGGGGTAGACTGGATACAGTCCTAACCTTTGGCATTTTTGTACAAAGTGGCTGCTGCTCTCAGATTCTAACCTGCATTCTCACGCTTGCCAGTCCAAGATTTTACCATTATGCTAAGTGATGGCCCCTATTTAATATATATATATATATATATATATATATCCTTAACCTTAGAAAATGGGATTCATTCATGGTAAACCTAGCATGAATTTTTAATTTGGTGTTATGTTTCACATTTTTTTAGAAAAATAAGGTAATTATTAAAGATCTGGAGATTTTACTGAAATTTCAGGATATACCAAAAAGCATATTTACATGCCAATAATCAGAGCACAAAATCCATTATCATAATTCATGTCCTGGTTTTCTAATTCTTGGTTCTTTCTATAGATTTACTGATAGTGTAAATCCATTGGTTGGAGATTATGATATAGTCTGGTGCTATAGACATCAATTGCCCCGATTTAAATCAAGCTTATACATATATTTCATGATTTGACAGTGTGAAGCCCCCTAAGAAGATTCCTTATCCAGTATCTATAGCAATTGTTCTGCTTGCATGTGCCTTAGCCTTTTCACTGATTGCCTTTGTGAGTGGAGGACCTTCATCACTCTTAGCAGCAATTGCAAAGTCAGGCTTCACTGCTGCATTCTCATTGATCTTTGTTTCTGAGATTGGGGACAAGGTGATTTACTTGTTTTTCTTGGAAGGTTTTATGTTTCCCTTATTTATCTAAGTTAAGTGTTTATAGGACCTCCTATATTTTGATCTTTTTGTTTTTATCTCATTGAATAGATTCATCTGTCTTGTTTATCTGGGGTTTGCTGCAAACACTAAGCTATGAGTAGTTGCTTACTTGACCTTGTCAGGAATTATTAGCCCTGTGGTTTACCACCAGTAGTTTTCTGCTTTCTCTAATCTGTATGCCAGAATACAATTAAACAATGATTCACATTCCAAAATTGTAGGTTAGTAAGAGGTGGCTTGTGTAAAAAGGAAATGATATCAAATAGTCTTTAGGGCATAATTTGGGTCAAAGGTGATACTTGAGCAATTCCTTTTGAAGGAATCAAACATGGTTAGACTATCTCCTTGAACAGATCAAGAAAACTAGGTTTTTTTCTTTATCTGGATAATTAGGATAGTAGGGTTTAGTTGCTGAAATCGAATTGTAATTTTTCCTCATCCTTACCAAGGTATTATGCAACTGTTTTCTAACTCTCTAACTTGGAGGTTTTTTTTGTTATTTTTGGGTGGGGGTGGAGGAGGGCTTCCTGATTGTTGTTCTTTGGAAAATTCTGTTCCTTCTGTCCATCTGAATAGGAGGTAGTCTCTTGTCAATCAAGGTCTGTCCTTGATGATTTTGTAGGGCAACTCCTGAGTTGTGATTGCATGGATGTTGAGGACTTTTATGAGTTCTTGGTATTCAGCCAGATACAAAACAAAAGATGATCCTTAGCTGCTTAGCTGAACATCTCTTTTGATAGGGTGTGAAGATTAGTGTTCATCTGGTTCTTGACAATCTTGGTTGGAGGGGTGTAACCCATGGTTCTTCCCAGAGCTCCTTGCATTTCTAGCTAGGTAGACTTGTTTCCTGTTTTCTAATTTCTGTCTATTTTCTGCTTGTTCTACTTTTTTTTTTCTGGTCTCCTAATAAATCCCTGTTCATTGATACAGAAAGGTTATAAATCCTTTCCAGTCACCACCACAACACCATTACTTTTGATCTTGTGGTTAAAACTTTGATTTTCATCATGGTACAATGAACCAAGGGAAACTACTACAGATAGAGAATTGCAATTTCACTCGAATCATTTGGGCTGATTAGTACTGCAAACTTATCCAGAAAGAAAGTTCAGTAATTARAGCTACTCATTAAAATAGGAAGGAATAAAAGAATAGTTTTACCATTGCTTTAGTGATGAATGCAATATATGTGACAATTATGGTCTAGATGAAAAGAATGAAATGCTAACATATGTATCATTTATCAAAAAAAAAATGTTAACATATGTAGTCTCATAGCTCAAGTCAAGTGCCTAATAATAAAAACTAGTGGATATCCTCATGGTTTTAGCATACATACCTATGCGTTTTTTTTTTTTTTTGATAAATAAGATGAGCTTTTATTAGACTTTAAGATAAGACTTTACAAGCATCCCTTAGAGAGGCACGAGATGCTACCTCTTTATAAAAAGCAAAGAGCAAAGAAAATTACAATGGAGCCCAAAACAATACATCCCTATTCACCCCTTGCTTAGCCAAAGCATCAGCCGTCCCATTTGCAGATCTCCTCACCCACTGTATCCTGAGATTCAAGCCACTTAAACCTTTTCATTTCATTTCTGTAGCACCAGGTTATAGAGACTGGGTCCTTTAGCTAGCTCACCACCACTTTTGAATCCCCTTCTATCACCAAATTTTCTAACTGTAACTCATTGGCAATCTGCACCCCTTGTAATGCTGCCAGCAACTCTTCTTTGAGAGAGTCACCCAAGCCCATGGGGCTGGAAAACAAGGCTATAAGTTTACCTTCTGAATCTCTCAATACCCCTCCTATACCCGAGGGGCCTGGATTTCCTTGGCTGCTCTCATTGAAATTCAGTTTGACGAAGCCTTCCATTGGGGGTGACCATTGCATCTCCACACATTCCTTTCTTGAAGAGCTTTTTGCAATTACTTCCCAATTCCTCCAAACATCTTCAACGGAGAATTGGGAGAACTCCAAAATCCTCACCCAATGGACCACCCTGACCATTGCACAATCCCTAACAGCTTCTTTACTTCTCTCTTTACCTGAGAAGATCCTAGCATTCCTTTCTTCCCATATGGTCCACACCACAGCTGCTCTAACACATCTCCACATTATTCTTCCCCTTTTTTTTGGGTCACGAAAACAAAGAAGGGTTAAATAGCATATTGACTTCCGTTGGTGAAGTCCACCTGCACCCAAACAAAGAGAAAAAGCAAATCCAAATCTCTGCAACAAAAGGACAAGAGATCAGTAGGTGATAGCAACTCTCATTATTGGATTTACACAGTATGCACCAAGTAGGAGAGAGACAAGAATTAGGCCTTTTCTTTTGTAACATATCCAAAGTATTAATCTTCCCATTCACTACTTCCCAACAAAAAGCTCTTACTTTGCAAGGAATGGGTCTACACCAGAATTCTTTAAAGGGAAAGGACGGAGGATCTGAAGAGATGCACAAAGTCTTAAACAAAGAGGCACAAGAGAGCAAACCCTTAGGATGGGGGTCCAAATACGCTTATCAGGTTTATCAGGGTCTAAACCAATTTGAAGTATTTGTAAAAGGTCTGAACAAGCAGAAACTTCACTGTCTCCTAGACCTCTCCAAAAGCCAAAGTCCCAATTAGGGCCCACAGGGAGTAAGGGAGGAACAAAAAATTTAGACACACATTCATTTTTATACAGGGATACCAAATATAAGGTAGAAAAGAGATCCTTCAGTGGACTACAACCAATCCAAGTATCCTCCCAAAATTTAACAGAAGCCCCAGAGCAAACATCATACCTGACAAACCGAAGTAGAAAAGGCAAAGTGCAATGAATGGCTTTCCACGGAGAGGCCAATGTGGCCCTGTTAGATACTCCTGCATCCCAACCATTTCTCAACCTCCCATGTATGCTCGCTATTATTTTATGCCACAAAATATCTCTTTCCTCCGACCATCTCCAAATCCATTTTCGTAATAGAGCCAAGTTCTTTTTATCTATATTTCCACTGCCTAAGCCACCCTCTTGTAGACTTCTAGACACAACCTTGCATTTAATCAAATGATCTTTCTTTCCATCACCCGACTCCCATAGGAAATCTCTTTCTCAATTTTTTTAGCCTCCTTTTGGGGAATCCTAAATACTGATAGAAAATATATTGGTAGATTGGCAAGAGTGGGTTTAATAAAAGTAATTCTTCCTCCCAAAGGTACATAACTTCTCTTCCAAGCTGCCAAATTTTTTGCACACCTCTCAATAATTGGATTCCAAAACCTGCTTTCTCTAGGGTTTGCTCCTAAAGGGAGGCCAAGGTAGGTCAAGGGCCTGCTAACTATGGAACAATCTAAGGTGTAGGCAACAGAGTTTACTTCCCCTTCCTCCAAGTTGATTCCTGCTACACAACTCTTTTCAAGATTAATTTTCAGATTAGAAGCTAACTCAAATTTCCCCACCACTTCCTTCAAATTCCTCACCACACCTTGCTCACACCCTTCACAGAAAATTATGATATCATCTACAAATTGCAAATGTGTCACTGAGACCAAATCCCTCCCAATCTTCCCCCCTTTTATTACTTTCTCCCTATCAGCCTTTGAGATCATTCTACTAAACACATCAGCTACTAGAGTGAACAAAAAAGGTGAAAGAGGATCACCTTGCCTTAGACCCCGACAGGCTAGAAAAAAGTCTCTCACAACCCCGTTAATCAGAAGAAAGTAGTGACATGAATTAATGCAACCAAAAATCCAATTGCACCATCTCTCCCCAAACCCGCAATTTTTCATTACATCATCAAGGAAATTCCAGTCTACCAAATCATAGGCTTTCTCCATATCCAATTTGCATACGAAACCTTTCTTCCTCGATCTTTTCATATCCTCCACACATTCATTAACAATAAGAATTTGATAAGTTATTTGTCTCCCTTGGATAAAGGCCCCCTGATTTTGACTGATTATGGTTGGAAGTACTACTTTTAATCTCAAAGATAGAACCTTAGTCAAAATCTTATAGATGCCTGTTAATAGGCTAATGGGTCCAAAGTCCTTTGGATGGCTAGCATCAGTCCTCTTTGAATAAGGGCAAAAAAGGTTGCATTCACCCCTCAGCTCACAATAAACCTCTCCACAAATTCATTGAGGACCTCACAAAGACCATCTTTTACAATGTCCCAACAGTCTTGATAGAAAGCCATAGTAAATTCATCTGACCCCGGGGCTTTCGATCTATTCATTGAGAAAACTGCCTTCCTTGTTTCCTCTTCCACAAAGTCTCTCTCCATCCACTGTGTTATTTCAGTCTCCCTTTGGGGCCACTCAAAGTCTTCCAGTCGTAATCTATCATCCAAGGGCCTCCTAAAGATTGCTTTGAAGTGGTCCACGAAGATCCTAGCAATTTCATTCTTGATTTGTTATCTCTTGCCCATCTACCTCCAATCTAGCCACAAAATTTTTCCTCCTCCTCCCATTTGCCGAAGTATGAAAGAATTTGTGTTACCATCACCTTCTTTCAACCACTTGCACATTGACTTTTGTCTCCAACTGATCTCTTCCCCTAATAAAACTTCTTCCAAATCTTTTTTAATCCTAAACCTCAATTCCCTTTCCTCCAATATGTGTTACACAATTGCAAACTTATATGGAAACTTAACCATGTGCATATCAAGTATTAATGGGCATTAGATTTGTAAACCCATTGCCAATTAACAGTTATACTTGAAACCATAGATATTTTATCATCACATTTACTCTTAAAAACTTCAGTTCTTTTTTTTTTTTTTTAATTTCTAGACTATGATAAAAATTCCACCTTTAATCTTTCACTTTATTTTGTTGATTTAGATGATTATTATCTTTATTTTTTGTTACTGCTGCCATTGTTCACTAATATCAAGCCATTTAATATTTGCACCTGTTATGTAGATTGAAACTATTTTGAAGCTTTCTTTCTCATACTTTGTGTGGGTTACGTTGTAACCTCTTATAATCTTTAGTTTACTTTGTAATTTTGTAACACAGATTTATTTGACAATCTTTCTGGTTCCTTGTTCAGACATTTTTTATCGCTGCTCTGTTGGCCATGCAATATGAAAAAGGATTGGTATTACTATAAACTCTCTCTCTCTCTCTCTCTATGTATGTATGTATGTATGGTATTTTTAGTTGCCCCACCTTCTTAAAGTATCTCCTTTGGATTTGATTTGGCTTCTCCAGTGCTTCTTTAAGACCTTTAATTAGAGATACTTGGGGGCCGTTTGATAAGGGATGAAGTTTCTGGACTGAACTGAACAACTTATTACTTTGTCATTAGGGTATAGTAATCTACCCAACTTCCTTCAGCCATTAAGGAGCCCACCACCTCCTTAAGAACTTATTGACTAGAAGCCAATGCCATAAGATTTTCAGTTCAGCCACTTCAGCTGTTATCAAATGGTCCACTGAGAAGTTGGAGGCTGCTTCTTTGATTTAATTATCTCTCTGAAGGAAATGTAATTCTTCTTCTAAGAAGCTAACTGTTTTACTTTTCTACAACATGATCACAAAATGCAATGGCCATGGTCTTAGCACCTAATAGGTGGTCAAGATATTTCAAGTGCTGTTTTCCAGTACTGCAATAATCTAGGGGATTGACATATCTTTTCAGCTTATAGCATTAAGAATAAAACCTAAATCATTTAAGTCCATATTAGGATCAAGTTTTTTTCTTGGTTATTCTTGTAACAGCTGAAACATTTTAATAAAAGTATGCTCCATCCTTCAATTAGAAACTAGTAGTGTGGAGAATATGAGAACTTGTTGATAGTGTCTGGATTTGATGCTTCAAATGAAAAAAGAAAAGATTATTGGGGAGCTAGTCTCAAACATGAGTATTTAAGACAAGCAATATTTTTCTAATAATAGATAAATTCATTGAGATAAAATTAGGATATAGAGTTCTGTATGTTTAAGATGTGCCTAGATCTAATCAAACTAAACCAGATCTCCGTACATAAAAAGAAACATTTGAGAAAGATAATAAAAGGAAAAATATCTAATGATGCCAAGGACATGAATAGCTGTGCAGTGGAAATCTTTTTAGGGATTCACCATACTATGAACCTAGGCATTAAAAAATAAATTGATCATTGTTGAAGCCCAGGTATTTTACAAGGTTGGATAAATAAGAAAAGAAAAAGAGAAGAGAGTAGAATTAAAGAAATTTTCTTATCTAAGCAGCCCAAATTTCATGGACAAGCTTAATATTCAAAATTCATACTACTCTTAACCAACAGTCTATGTATGGACTTGTTTTACTCATCTAAGACTTTCTGTTTGATATACACTAAAATACTTTATTCTATGCTTCAAGTTAAGTATTAACACTGTTGTGGATTTCCTAATTTATCTATGTGATAAAACTTTACAAACACACTTTAATTTAGAAATTCTAATAATCTGGAAATGGAAATATTAGCGACAAAATTTGCACCTTGTCCAGCAACTTCCATAAACCATGTCTGAAACATGCATGTTTCAAAAGGTTAGCTCACCATGTGCTTACTCAGCCATTACTTTGGTTACAGATGCTTATTTGACATCACAGCTATGCTTCTAAAAGTGTAGACATGGTCTCTTTCAACACCTGCCTTTTGGTTCTCTTTAATAACAGATATTTTACTTTTACTATTAACAGGAATGATGGATATTATTAGGCAATATTTTTCATCTAGCTGTTGCATGTTAGCGAAGAAAATATTACAATCAAAATTTCAAGTAGTTTTTGTTAATCTAGGGTTTCCTCACAACTTTTAAGGTTTTAGTCTGTCTTCCTGCTCTCAATGCCTTTGCTCCAATTGTCTATTAATTGTTGAAGATACAGAATTAGTGTAAAATAGTTATATTTTACAGGCATCAATTGTTCTTATATGTTTTTTATTTAATTGACTAGGTCTTACTTGGATCAATGGGTGCTCTTGCACTTATGACAATCCTATCTGTCGTTATAGGACGGGTATTTCAGTCAGTACCAGCACAGTTTCAGACAAGTAAGTTAGTATTTGGCACTTCATAATGAATGAATGGATATAACTCCATGGATGAAATTGATCTTATTTAAGTAGTGATCTTGAAGAGTAGCACAAGAGTCGGGTAAGGGACTCTTGCTCATTTCTTTGCTAAGAAACTGGTCAGTTATAGCACTCTCCTGCCCACCTAGGATTGGCATTATCTTTGAATGATCCTTCCAAGTGAGTTTGCTGTTAGTTTGAACTTTGTCTAGTGATCAAAATCTGGGGCCTTCAGGGATTGAGCTGTTTCAAGGAACAATTGAGTATGGTGTTTCTATCTTATTCAACTCCCATGTAGTTCGTGATGCTTCAAGTTTCTTTCCCTAATCCAAGGCCTCCGGTTATCTTTTGCACTGGGCTTGAGAGGCTTACTACAGAGAGTGACTCTGATTGTTTTTGGCAGGTTGTGGATTTAGGTATGTGAAGACTTAGTTACCCTCATAGATAGGCAAAACCAATGGTGCATAGGTTCTGAGATTTGCCAATTTTATCAGAAATAATTTCATTGTAGAGGTATGAGGGGGAATGGTTTATACTTGGGTTCTACATTTCCACTTTGAATTGTTTACCACTTGTCTTTACTTGGTACTAGATGATTGCATAGAAATGAGATCCTGACCCTTTTTGAGCTCTTCATATTTCTTCTCAATTAATGGGAGAAAGATCATATGGAGTCACTTGAGATATTCATTTTCTTCTCTAACAAAGAGTTATCCCAAGATATTTTCGCAGATATCGTCATTATTGAAGTTGCCCATTGGATTGATGCCAACTAGGATTTTTCTAAGTTCATGTTCAACTGAAGAAAAGATAAGGAATCCCAAGTACAATGACCAATTAGGATCTTGACCCATATATAAAATGACATCTTTTACATCATATGCATCAAAAGAAGAGTTAAAGGTTATTAGAACCTCAGAACATTTTTATCTTTATTCCAGAATCATTGACATTGATTTATGTTCGTTTGAAAATGCACATATACTATTTGAATAATTAAGACAGAGAGAGAGAGAGAGAGAGAGAGAGAATGGGAAATGTCAAACAATTCCTACAAGGATTGAACAAATTTCTGTTATCATTCTCTAACATCTAATAATTTAGCTTACTCTCAAGCTGATGCTCTGTCTAGGGATGCGGTTGGGAAGAGAGTTGCACTACATTCCAGCTCTTCTAGGGTTTTAAATAATTTTTATTGTACTATTGAGGTGTTGTATTCTGTTGGATTGCCTCTTTTGAGATTCTCCTCTTGGGTCTCACCCGGTCCTTTGGGAGCTTGATGCTTGCACTTCTTTTCATCCCCTATATTGGTGATGGTTTTTATTATTTAGGGCAATAGCTTTAATACAGAACAGCTATTTGTAGTGGAAGAAGGCATTGGTGGATGAAATGAGTTTGCTTCACAGGCGACATATGCCATTTCAAGGCTAGGTAGGGAAGAAGGCTCTGTTCACAGAGTACAAGACATTCATCCTAATAGCGAAGAGCTGACACCAATTTCTCAACAAAGACAGGGTGTATGGAGCATGGAAACGGGTTTCTCCATGGGACGGATTAGAGGTATTCCAGTTAGGTTGGTGCAATACTCATAGGATCAAGTAGACGCCTCTGTTGGTTTCAATTTCTGGTTATTAAGGCCTTAGAGACGAGTTCTGGTCCAATCCATCTTAGTGATCTAAGCCCACTTCCTAAGTCTAAGTCTCCAGGTTTGTGTGTCATTCAGGTTGAGGATACTAATACTTTGTTGGTGCCTATTACAGATAGAGGGAAGTACTATGAAGAGGGATGAGGGACTTGAAAGTAGGGAGCAAGGTGAAAGAACATAGAAAATGGTGAACGAGTACTTTGAGGTTGTTGGTATATTGATTGAGGAGCAAGGGCTAGATAGGTCAAGAAAAGAAGAGACCGAGGATAATAGGGTAGGGGGAGGGAACCCAGTTTTAGAAGTAGTGGAGTAGATGGGTTTGAAAGTTAAGGAAGTTGGAAAAGTCAAAGTTTATTCTAGGAAGGAGGAGGGAAAAAGGAAAAAGAAGATAAAGACAGAGAGGCTGAGATTAGGTGTGGAAGGTGACATAGAGTTTAGTGGGAGGAGGGAGAGGAGAAAGGAGCTATTGCAAAGAAAAAGACCTAGTGGGTGCCTTTCCCCACACTGGTTCTCCCTATGCAAAGTTAATGGTGAGAGCATAGTTTTCAAGGCACTAAGGCGAGGCTAGGCAACAGGGGGCACCTTGTCACCTAGTCACCTAGGCAATGGATTTTTTTTTAAGTAAAAACATGTATCCTATGGTAGTTCCCTAGGTTCTATAATCATATTTCCTTAATAAATATCCATAATTTTCATAAGAAAAGTATAAACTTCATGTTGAAGTACAGAAAATCAACATATTCATGAGAAGAAAAAGAAGAAAGAAAAGAAAATTAATATATATATATATATATAGGGGCTAAACCCCTATTATTGTTATAGGAAAAAAATGTGTTGATTGGACAACATTTTATGTTCTTCCTTGCTTATTGGTTCAGGTAATAAAGCATTTAGCAATGTTTGTGTTGATTAAACCCTAACAAATAAGAAAATAATAAAAATAAATTAGTATATAAATACACAAAATGAGTATTTTAGTTTAAAAATGTCTATTTTATAATTATAACCTCAAAAAATTAAGAATATAAAAGTTTTTTATAACACACTATAGAAAACTACATGGAGATTAGGCGAGGCGAGCCTCCAAGGGCACTTTGTCGCCTAGGTGCCCGCCTAGGTGTCACCTTGACAACTATGGGTGAGAATTGTTATCACTTATTAATCTCCTGCCCTTTTTCCTCTTTCATTTGGGAATGGTTCTTTGCTTTGTTTGGGTGCAGGTGGAACCCTGTGCCTAATGTTCACAGCCTGTTTGCTCTTGCTTTCGTAAGCTGGTCAATGAAAAGGGGAAGTATGATATGGAGGTGTACAAGGGGAGCGGTGTTTTGGACAATTTGGGAGGAAAGGAACTAGAGATTTTTTTTTTTTTTTAAAAGAAAAAAGCAGAGAAGCAGTCATTGAAGCTATTACCATCAAGGTGATCCATTGGGTTAAGTCATTGGATCTCTTTAAGGATATTCTTGGCATTGAGATGATGAGAAAGTGGAGCAAGGTAGTTGTTTCTGTTCTTTGTAAGGAGGTGGTCAGGCCTATGTGGTCTCCACCACCTAGAGGTTTTATTAAGGTCAACTTTGATGGTAGTAGTGAAGGCAATCTAGGTCCGTCTAGTATAGGAGGGGTCTTTAGGAATGAGGAGGGAAATATCATTGCATTATACTCAAGTCCAAGTGGAGTCGGGGACTCGCTAAGGGCTGAAATTATGGTGCTATTGAAGAGATTCAAAAGGCTAAAGAGATGAATATCAATAAGTTGTTAATTGAAGACAATTTGAAGCTTGTAATTAGTTGGATTTGAAAGAGGAGGTGGAAAGATGGTGGTAGTATGTAGAGGAAAGTTGTTAATTTGCTTCGAGGGGTAGAGGTGATTTGTAATTGGGCCAGAAGAGATGCAAATGCAGTTGCTGATACACTTTCTAAACAAGGGGTGGGAAGGAATAGTTTATTTTGGGCTGCATTGTAACTTTATTTTCTATTGGGAAGGGCTAATAGTTTTTATCCCTTCCTTTTCCTATTGTACTAAACTTCCTCCTTTTAATGAAATTGAAATTGATTCTGTTATTGATAAAAGAAAAAGATAATGAGGGTTTAGGGATTGGAAATGTTAGATTGAGAAACATAGCATTGCTAGGTAAGTGGTTGTGGAGATATCCCAAGGAGTAGTAAAGCTTATGGCATAGAACAGTTGGAAATATCCATGGATTGGCAGCAAATGTATGGGATGTTGGTATCGATCTTAGGGCTTCTCGTTCCTCCCTGTGGAAAGATATTGTTGGTATATTGCTCATTTTTTCTCCTTTCATTAGGTGTGATGCTTGCTTGGGCAATAAAGTTCTTTTTTGGGAGTACATTTGGATTGGGGACTCTCCTCTTAAGGATAGGTTCTTGATCATATATTCCCTCTCTTTGAACAAGTTTAAAGTCATTTCTTCCTTTTTTGTCTCTGGGGATTCTTGGGATCTAGATTTAAGGAGAGGTTTAAGGGACTTAGAAGTGGGCTTGGTAGATGAACTTTTCTCTCTTCTAATCTCAATGTATCTGGACCAGTATTGTCTTGATAGCAGAATTTGGTCAGAGTCTGGTTGTTTCTCTTGTTTTTCATTTTTCAATGCTTTGTTGAACTCTACTAATACGGTTACCTCTTTTCCTGTTAAAGAAGTGTGGTGTGCTCCTGCATCGCCAAAGGTGAGGGCTTTCTATTGGGAAGTGGTTCTCCAAAAATTAACACTTTGAATGTGCTTCAAAGAAAGAGACCAAGCTGGTGTTGATCCCCACACGTCTGTACCCTTTGCTTAATCATATATTAATCTCCTATCCTTTTGTAACACATATCTGGGAATGGTTCTCCTCTCTCTTTGATTGCAAGTAGGTTCCTCCCTCAAGCGTGGCGAACCTTTTTGACTCTAGCTTTTTTTGACAACCAAAGAAGAGAGGAAGGGTGGTGTGGAGAACAATGAGAGTAGCTATTATTTGGGCAATTTGGGAAGAGAGAAATGACAGGATTTTCCAAGGGCAAGAAAAAACACTACTTGAACTTATAGAAGGGATCACCATCAAGGCCATACATTGGTTGAAAACTATGGATCTCTTCAAGGACGTTTTTGTAGATGACTAGCTTAGAGGATGGAACACAGTAGTGGGTTCCTCCAATTCTTCTCCTACCATTCAAGAGGATTGGTCCCCTCTGTTACAACATAGTGTGAAATTGAACTTTGATGGCAGCTCTATAGGCAACCCTGGTCCCTTTGGAATTGGGGGTGTTTTTAGAGATGTGGAAGGAAGAGTATTGGCCCTTTTCTTTGGCCCAGTAGGGGTGGGTGGCTCACTAAGAGCAGAAGTAATGGTGCTTCTTAAAGGGCTCAGATTGGCTAAACAATTGGGATTTCAACAATTAGAAGTGAAGGGGGATTCAAAATTGGTTGTAGGTTGGATGCAAATAAATAATCTGGGCACTTGGTCCCTTAGACAATATGTAAGGGAAATAATGAACCTGACAATAAAGCATAGAGCATAGTTTAATTGGACTAGGAGGTCAACAAATGGTTTGGCTAACGCTTTAGCAAAGCAAGTGGTTAATAGGGAGACTTTATTTTGGGCATGATTGCAAATTGATTATGTTATTAGGGGTCACCTTATTTTGGAAGGTGACAATTGTAATTCTATTTCTTCAAGTTTAATGAAAGTTACCATTTCCTATAAAAAATAGTTATACGGACAGAGGAGAGATGTGGGAAGAATTGTTTGATATTAGGGGCCTTTGGGATGGACCTTGGTACTTAGGTGGGGATTTCATTGTGGTTAGATTTTCTAATGAGAAAAATAACCCTAATCAAAAAATTCTACCAACATGAGGAAATTCAATGAATTTGTATATACTTGTAACTTAAAAGGAGCTCCCCTCCAACAAGCCTTATTTACATGATATAATCTACAAGCCTCCCCCTATGCTCAAAGCTGGATTGATTTATCTACAATACAGATCGGAAGGATCATTGGGAAGGATTGGTGGCTATAGCACTGCCAAGAGTAACCTCTGATCATTTTCTGATTAGAATAGGATGAGAATTTCTTGAATATCCCTACTCCCTTCTAGGTTTGAAAATATGTGGCTGACTCATCCAGATTTTATCCTAAGGGTGGAGAAATGGTGGAGGGAAGAGCTGAGGGGAGTGGCCTATTTGAGATTTCATAGAAAGATTCAGAGGTTAAAAGGCAAAATCAAGGAATGGAATAGAGTACTTTAGAAGAATTGAGGAGAAAAAACCAAGTGTGCCATCCTAAATTTGGCAATTGGATGATAATGAGAGTTGAGGCTTATTGAGTGAGGAGGATAGGAAACTGAAGTGGACCTTGAAGGAGTTGGAAGAAATACTTCTTAGGGTAGAGATTTGTTAGAGACAAAAATCTAGGCATAAATGGATTAAGGAGGGAGATGGAAATTGCAAATTTTTCCATGCAAATGGTAGGAGAAGAAAGAATTTTGTGGCTAAGTTGGAATCTAGAGGTGGATGAGGTGATCTCTAATCAAGAGGAGATTGCTAAGATTTTTGTGGATCATTTTAAAGTAGTTTATAGGAAGGGTAAGGGGATAATGAATTTAATGTGGAAGGTTTGGATGTGCCAAGTTTGGATGTTGAAGTGTTTAGATCATTAGAAAGGGATTTTTATTTGAAGTTAGTAGGGGTACAAATGGATCGGATCATGATTCGATCCAATTTGAGATTCGATCATATCTGGTCAAATTCGGATCACTCCGATATATTATCCAATTCGATCATATCCAATCCGAGAAGATCCAATCCGATATATATTATATATTTATAAATATAAATATATATAATACATATATATGTTATTTATTTATTTATAAATATATTTTTATATTGTATTTTTATAAATTTGTTATATTATTTATTTTTTTATAAAAACATGTATATATATGATGAAAATAATTAAAAATACTTGTATTTTTGTTTTTACTTTATCTAAATTAGTATATTTTAATTTTCTTTTAATAATTTATTAATTTTTAAAGAAAACAAATCGGATCGGATCAGATCCGAAGATCTGGCTTACCAATAGGATTCGAATTCAAATAGAGTCCTATCAGATCTGATCGGATTGGATCATATCCGACATGAACAGTGTCGGATCGGATTCGAATCCGATTCAATCCGTTTGCATCCCTAGAAGTTAGGTGGGTTGTGTTCTTAATGGATAGATCAAAGGCTCCGGGTCCAGACCTGTCCCACCTAAGGTTGGACTTTCTGTTGGGAAGTTTACCTTGGAAATTTAAATACCTTGGGTAACCTGCAAAGAAAAAGACCCTTTATTTGCATCTCTTCTAACCAGTGTATCCTTTGCAAAGCTAATGGTGAGAGCTGTTACTATCTACTAATCTCTTCTCTTGTCCTTTCATTACAGGTATTTGGGAGAGGCATTTTTCTCTATTTGGGTGCAGCCGTGCAGGTTGACCTTGCCTTTGCAGAGTAGTATCTTATTTGACCTACAACCTTTGTTCGAACCAAGTGGAGGGGTAGAATTATGTGAAAGATGTGCTAGGGAAGCTTTGGTATGGTATGGACAATTTGGGAGGAGAGGAATGCCACAATATTAATAAGAGGGAAAGAAATGCAGAGGCCTTGTTGGATTGTATTGTGAGCAGGGTTATTCATTGGATTAAAACTATGAATATATTTTCCCACCTATCTTTTGATGATATCTGGAGGAATTGGAAAGCTGTAGCTAAGAGTTCAGTCAACAAGAACAGCTCATTGTCAGTTTGGGTACCACCTAAGGAGGGAGCAGGACCTTTTGGAATAGGGGGAAATATTCAGAAACAGAGATGGAAATGTCATTGCAGTAAACTTGGGTCCACCAGGAGTTGGGTATTCCATAAATGCTGAATTCCAAGCAGTTGAACTTTGACAAACTACTCATTGAAGGGGATTTCAAGCTGTTTGGTGGCTGAAGGAGCCTAACTCAGTAACATGGACTTACAGGGAAGCTATAAAGATATTTAAGTGGCTGACCACAAACATGTTATAAGGATTCAATGGGAAAGGATATTGGCAAATGGGATGGCAGATTGTCTAGCTAGGCAAGAGGTGAATAGAGACCATCTGTGCTGGGTTCAATTGTAATTTGTTTGTCGTAATTGAGGCTGCATATCATGCCTCCGGTTGGAAGTCTTGATCGTAAAATCTTTTGCTTTACTTAATTGAATGAAATATATTTTACTTACAAAAAAACTAGTTTCCATTTGAAGCAAAGATTCAAGTAATGTGGAGTAAAAGAAACTTAGGCAAGCAACTAGATGCTTGGAAAGAAAATAAAGAAAAATGTTTTTATGGTAATTCTTTCAATGAATCATACGCTTCTCAACCCCAATAGGGAAGAGGATCTCTCTGGTATGCTAATTCATTGGAAGGAAAATATGTTTACATTTTTATTTTCCAGGGATGCTAATGACCAGGCCATACTTCTTCAGAGTCCGCTCTACAGAGCACTGTAGAGACCATTATGTCATCATATCCTTTAGGTTTCATGAGATGGGAAAGAGTTTTTTGTAGTTTAGCGGATGCTTTTCTAAATTTATCTTAAAACATGGGTTTCTGATTCTTTATTAACGATATTTTTTTAGGCTTATCATTGTTACACTATTTCAGCCGGATGTATTTTCTTGTAATATCCAGCTTTCCTTAAAGTTCATCAACCCACAGATCAACCAGTCTCTTCTAATGATCTTTTAGATATAATGGCTTGGCCTGAGCTTTTGTCTTTTTGTTCTTACTTTTCCCCCTATCTCGCTGTCTCTAAATGTGTTAGTGATTCTGTGGCCATTTGAACAGCATTGCCTATTGGAGAATATGCAGCAGTGACTCTTCTCATGTTCTTTGGTCTTAAATCAATTAAAGATGCATGGGATCTACCATCAAATGTAGTAAAAAATGGTGAAAAAAGCTCAGAACTTGGAGAATTCGTTGAAGCTGAGGTGCTTGTGAAGGAGAAGGTCATTATGCTAATATCTAGTTCATTCTGTATAATGTTTTATTTTTATTGGGTTGCTGTCTTTATTTCCTTATCTTCATATCTTTATCATATGGGAAACCAAATTTAGAGTGGGAAGTGCCTTTTCTGAGGGACTCTTAAATGCAACTCCCACCTTAAAGGTGATTTCCTTGTTTGATTGGAATCAATATTATCATTTATCAACAATATGGTAGTGTTTGGACTTTTATTTTATTTTAATTTATTTTTTATTAGTAGAGATACAGTAGTATTCCATACATCCAATTGGTAGGAACCATTAGTATTACTGTACTTATGCTATCACCTACTTCATAATTTGTTTCTTATTTGACTTTGATCCTTGCTCATTATGTGCTATTTTGACTTTTTCTTCCACCCTTTCTCTGTTTTTCTCTAACTTCTTGATGGTGGGATTATGTTTATTAACCTTTTCAGGTGGCAAAGCGGCTTATGAATCCTCTTGAAGTCATCTGGGAGTCTTTTACTCTTGTATTCTTTGCTGTAAGATACTTCTTAAACCTTCTCGTATTTTAACATGCAAGCATGACCTTCATTTAACGTATTCTTGGCTTGGCTTGGCATATTTTCTATCTAGAACTATTTACAATTTCCTATTAGTGAATCAGTGATAGCACTTGACCATGAGAACTCAAGGCTGCATTTGTTTTTGGTGTAAAGTTTTTATCAATGTAAAAGTACATTGATTGGTTTATATAGTGAACCGTTGTAAAGTGAAAAATGTATGTCAGTGCGTGGAAAAATTTACATCAATAAAATCGATTGTCTTTACATTGATTATCTATGTAAAGCTTACATTGAAAACAAATGTGAGCAAAATCGAACCGGGGTGTACTACACCGAAAACAAACGCAGCCTGAAGTTCTAGAGGAAAACAACAGAAAAAGAGTTAAGTAACAAGATTTTGGTTGCTTCCAGGAATGGGGAGATCGCTCAATGCTTGCGACAATTGCTCTAGGTGCTGCACAGGTACAATATCATGAATTTGACCCTGAAGTAGAATTGCCCCTGAATATCATGCCATCCTAGTCATGATTCCATTATAATTTCTTTCTACAGTCTCCATGGGGTGTGGCTAGTGGCGCCATTGCTGGGCACCTACTGGCAACGTCTATAGCAGTTTTGGGAGGAGCCTTTCTTGCCAACTATATTTCTGAAAAACTGGTATTGTCAGAAAATCTTTTCCGTTTTCTTATTATGTTGTTGGGCATATCTGCACTTGGCATTTATGAAGCACTCTTCAACCAGGTTGGCTATTTGGGTGGAGTACTGTTCCTTGTTTTTGCAGTAGCCACATTTATAGGAGTTTTCTGACAAATCTCTCAGGGATTGTGCAAAAGTGAAGCCCCCGCACATCATAAGTGGGTAAGCCATGACCTTGCAATGATGAAGCAGAATTAGATATTTAAGCAAGGGTCTTGCAGATTCATTCTTTCTGGTTAGCTTTGAAGGCTTGCCTTCTTTAGTCGGATTTTTGTAGGCATGTCATGATGAGTCATTACTAGAAGTTTGTAGGGTTGTAAGTGGAGTTTGTATATTGTGCAATTCGTGTCAAAGCTTCTTGCATCCATACTGAATGGGTTCTTGGGCTTCTGTTTCCAATACTTTTATTAGAACCACATTTTTTTCTAGTGATCATATTGCATGTTTCTTAGGTGCATAAAATTAAATTACATACAAGTTTGCAGAATCAAAACCCAGGTCTCCCATGTGAACTGCAAGAACCTTAACATTATCTACACTATATCACTAGTGTTAAACAGCATGGTTTTTAATATTTGGCTTTTAACTCGATTTTATGAATTTCAGTTTTTTTGATCAATTTTATGAATTTCAGAAATACTGTTTTCAAGTATTAATAAAATGTATATTTGGTTATATTGTGTTTGTATGTTCTGTTAGATGCAGGGGTAGTTTTTGACTTTTCATCTTTTATTATGTTCATCTTAGTATTCTAGCAGAGCGGGCTGCCATCTGCCTCTCAGATTTGTCTTTTCTTGAATATTTCTCTTCCCCATCTCCTCTTATCTATGGCTGTATACAGGTTGTCTTAAATTTTTAATTCTTCCATTTCCCAACATTCTCTAAGCGTATCCAAGTAATTCACAATTCACATAAACCATTAAAGCATGTCTTTTTGGTAACCAAATTATTGAAGTATGTGTTTGTAACTTATTCATAGTCATGTTAGTGTTAGTAATTCTTTTTTTTTTTTGATTTATACAAGTATTTCCAATATATTCATGTATACCCAAATCATTCCACCGTATGCACGTATACTCTTTTTGATGCTGATAATTTAGACCTCGGTTTAGTTACCGTGCACTATGGCTATGTTTTCCTTGAATGTTACTGAAAATATTGCTTCACCCTGGTAAATTATTGTAATACAAGTGGTTTTCAGGGTCACCAAATTAGTTAGGCCTATTAAATACATTGAAATGTTAATGTTCAGCTTCACAAAATATCTGCAAAATGTAATGAATATGAAGTGATTAAACTCTTGACATTGATACTTTGAAGTTTGAACCATTTATCACTGAAGATGGTTCTTTGTACAAACTACAAAGGCCTTTTTTTCTATCTCGTTTGCAAAGTTGTGGAAAGTATACACGGAAAAAGTTCATAGCTCCAAAATGGATCCCAGACGTGTGGCATCCTCCACACTGGCAATCAATGTTCTCTTTCCTGTAAGCAATCTCTGCAATAACATGAATCTTAAAAGTTCAAGTACATTTTGAAGCCATGGCGATGACCTAAAATATAATAACTGTTAATGTTGGTCCGGTGATCAGACTGAATTTGGACATTGTCTTTTGGCATATTTATGCATAAACTGGCTATCTCGGACTAGATCAATGTTTTAAAAACTGACCTGTAACTGAAACCATGTTGGCCACTGGTTTCTGGATCAGTGGTTCAATCATCTGGTCCGAATGGATCAATCTATGATGCTTTAAAAATTAAGGTCCTGTTTGGTTTGCGGGAATAGGGATCTGGAATTGGAATTTCATTCCCATTCCTGATGGAATGGCACTCCTTCATTCGAGTGAATGGCTATTTCCTCCTCTCCCTTGGGAATGAAAATCCATTCCTGCTGATTTCAATTTTCATTCCCATTCCTGTTTAAGCCAGACTGGGAATAGAACATTCTGATTTGATTCTAAAGGATTCCAATTCCAATTTCAACTATGAACCAATCAGACTAATAAAAAATAAAACAAACTGGCCCAAAAACCACTGCCTGGGTCAGGTCACAGACCAATTCAACAGTATTTGGGAAATAAATGTCGATATGACAGAGAATTGGCAAATGATGAAATTGAAATTGGTTACTACTTACAAAAAAAATGTTGCGAGCCCAGAAAGAAACTCGCGATCATTCACTGTAATATACAACGATTACAATCAATGTTCTTAAACCCAGACCATACCTGGAGCTACTAAGTCTCAGTCTGGTAGATCACGGTCCTACCATCTATTTCAATTTTCAACCAATGGATTCTGTGAACTAAAAATAATAAAAACAAATGACGAGATGAAACCTAGCACTAGGAAAAAACTTGGAAAATGTTTGGCCACCCAAAAAGCTAATTATGGAACATTTTAAAATAATTTATACATATAAAATTAATATTTAACTAAATCAAGTGCGCTTTGGGTCTTCAGTTGATCCAACTGAATTTTGGTCTTGGGTGACATTCTGGACACTCTGATTGACCCTTTTGGGTTCATTTAGGGTTTCGTCACATTGATTGGCATGGAATGTACCACTTGAGAGCAATTCAACAATTCGCCTCTCAAGTCTCTTACCTCCTGGACCAGGCCTCAGCACATCAACATCTCCCCAAACCGTACACGAATCATTTTTGGGATCACCTAGACACCAACCTCCAGGGATGACCTTGCCGGCAGTGCGGTTCAACACTTCTTCATCGATGCGGTCAAGAACTGGATCATCTGGGAGGAATCGACTACCAAAGGCTGCTCCGCTCTGAATCATCTCATTGAAGTCCTTCAAAGAAAGTGCACGCGGCTCCCGTTTAGGGGGTGTATCCCATGAGACATGGTGCAAGTTGTGGTTAACTATAGTCTTCTTGAGCTCTGGAGAATTACAGAGAATGGTCTGGAAGTAGTTGGCTTGTGAGGAAGGCATATTTGAGAAATACATCAGTAAAATCCTTGGTAAATTGTCTGAACCCAAGACGCAGAACTCCACAAATTCACGATTCAGAATAGTGGATGCCAATCCTGCAAAATTTTAAGGCATACAGTACCACTAAGGCAGGGTATGGGATTTTCATTAATTTTTTACTCAAAACTCGTGCATTATGCATGATTTGCATGCAAGCAGCTTTGACCCACTGAACTGTCTTTAAACAAATGTCACCACCAATTTTCTTCTCAAAATGGTGATTATAAAATCTATCTTGAGGTTGTATGATTTACATAGGAATTACATGATACATGAAAATGATGCTTCTCCGGTAAAATAGAATGAATAGAGAAGCCCAACCAGCACGAACTCAACCTCTTGTAGAACTATTACTGTTTTTGGATGTGATACTGACATCATGACAATTCATGGATATGGTAAAAGCTATAAAATGGTTGAAAATCATGATCATATACTTGCAGTTAGGAACAGTCTAATTGAACCATGGGCAATCCACCACCATGTTGCTGATCCAAATTGATATTGGTTGAAAAAATGAAAAACAAAAACTAGGGATATAGGAAAAGCCATCACTTGACAGTGTGCATGTATAAGGTTTTCAAAATGAATGAATAAATAAATCTCAGTATTGCATCATATTAATATTATTATTATTTTGAAAATGATTGCTTCATATTAGCTAACAAACAAATGAATTATAAGTTCTAATGTGTACCACAAGAAGGGGGGTCTAACATGAGTCATACAAATTCCTATGAAGGTTCGCTGAAATGAAGACTAAACATTCTTCCAGGTTGTGATCCATTGTGACTGATTCCATTAAAAATACAGTTTAGTCAAGGCGATTTGGCAATTTGGTTTAAATGAGAAAAAGAACAAATAATGCCAAAAAAAATTATGAAAGAACTTACTAGTACATGGAGAATAGTATGACAACTCAAACCACCAAAGACCATAAATATATCCTCTAGGAAGCTGGAAAAAGTTATAAGCCACGTCTACTTAATCCCATCATATTGCTAGCAAGATGGAGTTTATAACAACAATTGATGTACACCAAGGATCAAACCTCAATTATTATTACCCCCTCCCCCCGGGTTCAAGCGTAGTGGATACCTCTTATGGCATTATGCTTGTAGAAAGGCAGGCATCACCAAGACATTACCTTTACCATAAAAAAAAAAAAAGAGACTATTCAACCTTAACAGAATTCCCTGTGGAAAACAAATTGAGATCTGGTTTTGGGAGGTTTGGCACGAGTCCAGATCTGCTCCTCGCAGAGCGTACCTCACATCAACATCACAGCATGTCCTGGCCGTACATTGGGAACATCTCCCGTACTTGTATTTATTATTCATGGGGAGATATCCCAATACAGGGTGGGATGTGGCTGCAAGGTCAGTGTGAGGCGTGCTCTGTGAGGAGCAGATCCCAATTCGTTTGGCACAGGTATCTTCTCTCAGGATCTTTGCCCAAGGCTTTACAAACTTTCCACTCAAGTGGGAAATGGAACTTAGTATTCCACAGACCTCTTTTAAGCAAGAAAAGTTTTGAATGCCTTATCCTTTTCCAGAAGTTAGTACTCCCTCATAGCCTCACCAAGCAAGATCAAAGAGACAAGGTAATTTGAAAAGAGGAATACAAGGTGTACTTCAAGTGAGATCCTTCTACATTGCCCTTCCAAGCAGGGATTTTTGAGCTTGTCTGTCTTGGCTGCATTTGGAGTTGAGAGTTTTCCTCTCCCCATGTTGAAACATTCACGTGTTCTGGTCTCCAAGACAAAAGGCTTACACAATAACCATTTAAATTATTTTTTATAGTTTTTCTCAAAAAGATTATTTTTTATAGTAAAAAATTAATATATTTAAATCATAGAAGAAACAAAATTCAGAAAATTTGTTTTCTGAGTAAATCGACTGGGAGATCAGTGAATCATATCTTCCATCTTTTCCTGGGATAGCAGATTTTTGGAAATTATTCTATGCTCCCATGATGCATGGACATGTCAATCATTCAAAGATCTTATCCAGCTCTGTTTGGGTTGTATATGGTAGGGGTTTTCCTTGAAGGAACACAACCTAGAGGTCAGGTCTATTTTGACATAAAGGAAATGAAATTTTTTTATAACAAATAGTTTTATTAAAATAAGGAAAAAACGGAATAGAAGAGGAGCAACTACAATAGAGCAAGGGGAGGGGTAAAATCTCTTAACCCTCCCCAAGAATAAAACTTATATTACAATATTGCCCAAAAAATATTAGCTCTTCCCACCCCTTGTTTTGCAAGTGCATCCGCAAAGGAGCTTGCACTTCTCTTAATCCACTGAAGCTTGATTTTCATGTCCTGAGTTGGCCTTTTATACATCTTTTTCTCATTTGAAAACTTCCAGAACCCATTCTCTTCCTTTTGAAGCCAGCCAATGACCAACATTGAATCACCTTCTACAACCAATTTTCTGATATTTAATTCCTTTGCTCTCCTTATCCCTTCCAGAACCGCCTAAACCTCAGCTATTAAGGAATCCCCTACTCCAATGTGATCGGAAAACATAGCAAGATTTTTTCCTTTCACATCCCTAAAAACTCCTACACGGGTTGCCTCCACTAATTCCATCAAAATTTAGTTTTGTGAACCCAACAGCTGGAGGGGATCAAAGTAGAATAGTCACAGATTTAAGGGGACCTGAATAAGCCACTTCTTTCCAATTCTTGATAATATCTCCTGCTGAAAAACCTTCAAAGATTTTCATAGTCTTGACCCAATGATAACAGTTATTATTTCAATGATGGCATCCTTCTTTCATTTTCATATTAACTTCTTTGATTTCTTTCTTCCCAAACTGTCCAACAAATGGCTGCTCTTCCACACATCCCCACAGTAATCTACCTCTTTTCCTTAACCCACTAGCAGAAAAGGGAGCAAACAAGCTCTGTACATTTTGTGGGGGGTCCACCTGCAACCAAATAGAGAGAGAAACCAATTCCAAATCACTGAGACAAACCCAAAGGAAACAAACATAAACCTCACTATATATCACCATTGACAATGTCAAGAGTAGTCCAAAAACCAAACCCAAAAAAGATCATTCCACATCTTCCAACTCCAGATGAGGAAGCACCCAGTCCATAATAATATTTCTAACATCAGCAGATAGCATCTTGCAACCTCGTTTCTTCCCATAAAAAATTCTGTTCTTTTTCTCACAATGCCCCAACAGATTGCAAGAACAGATAATGCTCCAAAAATATTTAGACAATGTTGCCATCCACATTTTTTTTAAGGATTGAAGAAGGGCTCTCAATTTTTTTGTGGGTCTCAATTTTTTTAGCTCTTTGGTGGATGTTTTAATGATTTACCAGCAAGGGTTTTTGAGTTTAATTGGAACTTTGTAATAAGGCACTGTAAAGACCAATTTTAGGCTTTGAGGACTTTCTCCATATATCTTTGTAAGTGAATGACAATGAAACACTCTTGATTGCTTATATCCAAGGTTCAAAATTTCGATACGATACGCCCCTGTATCGTATCTTTGGGGTCCCAATACACCTGTTTATAGGTGTTTCGGGATCCCTCTGTTTTTAATAAAAAATATGTATGAAAACCTCTCCAAATTAATACAAAATAATACAAAATACAAAGCTTTGCACTCTACATATTTGTATTTGTACTCCTTCCAAAAGGACCCTTCCAGTTTCTTTTCTTAGCACAATTTCTAATCTTCTCTCATCTGAAAAAAAATAAATCCTTGAGTTTCTTTCTTCCCATATAGTCCAGAAAACAGCAACCCATAAAACAAAAAACAACTACCCACTCCTTACAAAAATCAAACTCAAAAAAGGATCTAGAATGTCTACATCTAAACAGCAGGTGAATAACCATGAGTGGATCATCTCCAGTGCTATTCTCAGCACTTCTTCCTTTGAGGTCTGAGTTCCTTCAAAAATTCTGTTATTTCTTTCACTCCACAGAGCCCATAGTATAGCTGCAAGAAGAATGCTCCATGCCACCTTTCCAGCCTTGCTAGACCTCCCAGACACCAAGCCTCTATGAATCCCTTCACATCAGCTGAGAAACATAGCTTAATTTCAAATAGTTCCAACACTCTTAACCACACCCAGTGAGTAAAGTCGCAATGAATCAGCAAATGGCTAGATGAGTCCTCATTTCCATTACATAGGGGACATCTCCACATAATCCTTCCTCTTTTCATTGGCTAGATGAAGGAAGAGGAAGTAAACAAGCTTTGCACATTCAGTGGGGGATTCCATGTGCACCCAAACAAAGAAGTAAACCATTCCCAAATATTTCTTTTGCAAATTGGCAGGATACTAATAAGTGGTTACTAGACTCGCCATCAGCTTTACAAAGAACACACCAATGAGGAAATAAACATCTATTGGGTCTTTTTCTTTGAAACAAATATCCTTTGTTGACTCTTTCCAAGAAAGCTTCCCAATAAAAACTCCCAACCTTTGGTGGGATAGGCTGACACCAAACTTCTTTAACATGGAATGGCAATCCACTAGGGACACCAAACTTCTTTATCAAATAAAACATTTGATAAACTAAAAGCATGATATAGAAAAACATATTCTCTTGCTAATATAGACTATAAACTTCAAACTTTAAACACTAGAGACTAAAAAAAAAACATATTCCTTTTTAAGTTTACTACAAGATCAGCAAATGGACTGGTTGATGCTCTAGGTCTCTAGCAAAGCAAGGAGTGGCCAGGGAGGAACTGTTTTGGGCTTTAATGTAATTATAGTAAATATGTATATGACAAATATACAACTATGGGTAGGTTTCCAAAAACCCAACTTTTGTTCTCAAAACTCCATCTGAATGGTCCATGAGCACAGTGGAGCTCTACATCTTGGGGAGATGTCCAAAGATGTTAAGTTAATTTGAAGACTGTTGAGGTTAGGGATGCCAGTCTTCTGAGAAATTGGAGAGAATTTTTAGGTAGATTCTTCGTTGACAGTTTTACTAGGGTTGATCCAGAGGAAGAACTGCTCATTGATCGGGATTCACAGGATTGGAGAGTTTGGCACACAATGGATGTCAAAGCCAC